ACTTACCAGACAGGTATTTTAACTTCAAAGGAATTTTATAATGTACACTTTAGATGCAAACAGTCACATTTGTTTATGGATACCTGTTGGAAAGGAAAATACATACTTTTTCAACCCCATCCAAAGAACCAGTAATACTCCAATCTTGTTTTTAAATCAACATTGGAAAAATATGAAGTTGGAGCAAATTTATTTCTTGTAGTATTATTCTATTACTAATGATCAAATTTTGTACTAGAAATCTATAGCAGTCATTTAGTACAACTCTTTCATTTTTCCTGTGTGATGAAAGAATAATGTATTAAGGACTACACTACTTTTTTCCTGATGAATAAAATTCACATTTCCATGTTTGGACTATATAGTCTGTACTATATAGTACATACATATAACTGCCATGTGATATTTAATGCAAATACCTGCTTTTTTCTATGAGAGTATAAGACTTGCAAGTTTAGAGTCAGGACATGGGCTTTTTTCTTATTTCTGTGAACAGCAAGAATTAATGCATCATCTTCCTGGTTTATGAGGAAGATTCTGAACAGTGACATTTTCAACAATGGAAATCTTCAGAACAGGAGGCAAGTTAAAAGGAGTTTCTAAGGACAACCAAGTAATGATTCATGTTAATCCTTTTTCTTTAAAATAATTCTGGATCAGTATGACAGAACATTATCTTTTTACCTGATTTTCTCCATTAATATATGGTTAAATTGTGGTATAAAGCTGGTTGTTGCCCTATTCATCCAGCTTTTTCTCATTAAATTTTAAATAATGCAAATAGAAAAAAGTGTTTTGTATTCAGGAAGTGTTCTCTGAATGAGAATTAAAAACTGTTTATTAAGAAAAAAAATTGCTGGGCTTAATAACCAATGACTTTTTTCTCTTCTCTCTCTCTGTATCTATTTTAAGTTATAATCTCTACAAGTGACCACAATAATCACTTATAGGTGGCTGTCAAACACCTTGGAAAGAAAACTATAACACTCCAATCTTCTGTCATTGATTTACCTTCTTCTGATAAATACTGAACTTATCTACTAATTCTTTTTACTCTGCAAATGCCATACTATACTTGCCCTATTTTTTTTTTTACCAGATTGGTCTATGTGGCAATATTACTTGTCTCTCTTCCCTTTAAAAAATTTATGCATCTTTAAAACATAAATCATGATTGTATTCTTCTATCCCTTCCCTAAGCAATATGCATATGCTCAGTAAAATATGTAATCATTTACACTGTTGAGAGTTTGCCCTAATTTTGCAAAATATTATTTTATTGGTAAAGAATAAAGAGACAAATTCAAACTAACTTAAGCTGGATTATAGGCGGTGTATGGGGGATACTTTATGAAACAAAGACTTTGGAGCCCTACAGTGTCCAGGCATCAGGTATTAGTTTATCTCTCTGACTATGTCTACTCCACTTGATCTTATCTCTTATCTCCATCTCTTTCTCTGACTATGAATCTCTCTCTTCTTTTATCTCTATGCAAAAGTATGAGTTACTCTTTATGACTTACTCCTGTGTTCTCAACACACCTTTTCTTTGAGGGAACCTCTTAGTCTTGTTTCTCTCCACTAACTAGCTTTCTTTGTTTGTCTGCATCTATAATTACATATGACTTAGCTTAGAGTGTGTTTGTGTTGAACTCAAATAAAACATATAAGCAAACCTACAAAGTTTTCATTTCTGAGCAAGAGAATCTGTTGTCTCAGAGGGGCCAACATGCTCCAAGATAGCAAAGGACAGAATATGAGTCCTCTCAGCTAGTAAAAATATACATGGCATTTGTCTTATCTGATATGTTTTTCACTGTTTGGTCCAAATTATGTAAAACACTATAATAGAGTGATGCTGAGAAATGGCATAGTATTATATAATGAGATACAAGAAAGGTATAATTACATAGGTTTTATCCATTGTTTTAATAATAGTAAACTATTATGTTTGCTCATAATAGCTACTCTGCACCAGATGCTATTCTAATTGTTTCCCCACCCACCCTTGTACCCACATACTGGCAAGAACAAACTTATGCTTCCCAACTCTAAAGTGTTATTACCATTTCCATTGTAGAGGAAAAGGAGATTAAGAAGAAGAGAGTGTGCTTTATACAGCCAGAAAATTGGTAGCAGATCTAGAATCAGAGCCCAGGTTATGTGCTTAACCATTGATTATGCATCTGTCTGTCATTTGAATTTGATGCTTTGAATGTGAAAGCCATCACATTCATTTGTAAAAACTGAACCCCTCGGTAACAATGCTCGATAGGAAATGTACTCATTACCTTACTCGTGTAACTGTAACCCCTCTGTACAGTATTGTTACAATAAAAATATATAAAACATCAACCCTACCAGGCTTGACTTACATTTCTTTTTCTTAAGAATCTACCATTTAAAATTTTCTCTTGACAAGCTTGGCTTTCTATCCAAGCTACACGGATTAGCTGTTTCACTTTTTACTCAGCTATTCTTTTTTCTTTCTTTCACTTTTATTCTTTTATGCTGATTCTAGTGTTTGAACTCTAGATGCATAACTGTTAGACTTATTTACTCAGCTAGTGTTTTACCAGATCAGCCATGCTTCCAGCTCAGTTTTTGCCAGGTTTCGGAGATAGTGTTCTGCAGTTTGAATGTGATCCTCCAGATCTCAGTCTTATGTGTAGCCAGGATTACAACATGAGCCACTAGTACCTAGCCTCTCAGTTATCTAATATTTTCTCAGTTATATTTATTGAGTCTTTATTTTTCAGGTAGGGTCTTGTACTTTTTGCCAAGGCCACTCTCATAGAATGATCCTCCTACATATACCATCCTTAGCTTGTTTGTTGAGATGGGGACTCTTGTTAATTGTTTTGCCAAGGCCAGTCTCCAACTTCAATCTTACTAATGTAGGATTGACGTTGGCCTCCATAGAAGGGTCAAAGTTTCCTACATTTCTTACAGATACTGCTAATGAAGTTGCAAAAGGCTTATTATGATTTGATCCTGATCACAATCATTATTTTATTACTGGTGATTTAAAAATAAGATAGTAAAACAGATGTTCATTTATCTGTCTTCCCCCACGGTATAACCCCTGCATTCACTGTATTTGATGTTGGTATAATTTGTGGAGGGGAAGGGCAAAAACAAACCGTTTAAATAGGGATACAGGTGGACCCATTGCAACAATGAGATGTACAAGATGTTATGTTGAAAAACAAACTTTACAATTTTTGTGGGGGGCGGGGGAGGGAGGATGAGAAGGGATGGGAAGGGGAAACAAAGGAGGAGGCAACAATGCTTACAAGAAATGTACTCATTACCTTCCCATGTAACCCCTCTGTATGGTATTTTCACAATAAAAAAATAAAAAATAAAAAAAACACCTCTGGGTTTTCACCCTGTCCATCTTAACTTATTCTTCCATAATTAGGCTTTAAAATGCAATCACCTAACCACACTCATCAAAATGTCATATATATTATATATATTATCTGTATTATATATCATATATATTATTATATATATTATATTATTATATATTATATTATATAATCCTAGATGATTGAGTATATCTTGGGAATATAAAAGGGATTTTTAAAATGTTTTAACAGCAAGAGGAAATTATTTTATAAATGAATTAATACTTTAGCTTTGTGAGACAGTTGAGAAAATGGTAACTTCCCTTTCAAATTTAAATAAGTATGAACAATTTTAAAAGTAACTTTTCCTGCATTTGGGCACCTCACTGCTATGTCTGCTCTCACCTTCCTCCAGTTCTGTAGCTATTATTGTGTTCTGACCACCCAGTCTACCCTCCATTGGTCAGCACCTCCTTTTCTTTCAGGTAATGCTCTATGAAGCAAAATGCCAAGTGGTGACTAGGGACTCACGGTGCCACGGTAAACCTTGGAGAGCAATATTCCATCTCTAGACAAAATCATGGAAAACAGTTGAGAAAAGGAGTCATTTTGCAGGATGGGTTATACCTCTGAAAATAAAGTGGTGAGTTGGAAACCCACTTCAGGGCAACTGTTGGGGTCATGTGGCTGGGGAGTCTTGGGTCACCTCTGGAAAGCTGGGAGCTCTAGATTCACCATCAAGTACATGGTGAGGAGACAAGGACAGCATGAAAATTCAGTCTTCTCCACTATTGAAAAGCTGTCGGGGTGTGGGGAAGGGGGGGTCTTCTGTTACAGCAGTAATCATTATTCTGGATCCCTTTTGCTCATTACTTTGTACTAAAACCATAAAAGTATTTTCTAGGAAGCATGTTCACTTGTTCCAGTAAGTCTCCATGCTTGCACAATAAGGAGGTGGTGATGCTCACCTGGAGTTCCAGCCAGTATGGAGACAAGAGTAGTTTTAGTTCAAAGCCACTCTGGACTACGGAGCATGCCTCTCAAGAAGAAAAAAAAATGGAAAAAGAGAGAAACAGAAGAGAGAGCAGAGAGAGAGGAAGAAAGTGGGAGAAAAAGGAAGGAAGGAAGAAGGAAAGGAAAGAAGGAAGGAAGGAGGGAATGAGAGAAGGAAAGAAAGATCCTAAAAGCTATAATCAGGGGTTCTGCCCCTTTCAACAATCTTCAAGGCTGCGTTTCATTGCAGATTCATCTGAGAGTTCTCTACGATGACCAAAATTCCTTAGGAAAGCAAGATGCAACACGCCAAAACTTAATCCACGGCAAGGCTCTTCTGCAGGCTGACTACAGTGCCACATGGATTCCTGGGGTCTCTCCGGACAGCTTGGGCGTGGCTTTCAGCCGGGCGGACCCTCAGGATCAGAGGAGGAGTCTGGGGGCGCGGGGGTGGGGAGGGGCGAGGAGCCGGGGCTTGAAAGCTCCAGTTGCTATCCCGCGATCGAGCTGGCCTGGCCAGAGAACGAAGTCACCCACCCAAGAAGACGGGAAAAGTCTGCACAGAGGGTTGAGAGCCGGCTGTGGCGTGAAATCCTGACACCACCGGCTGCTCGAGCTGAGACGCCTGTGGCCCCCTAACCCGCAGCCCCAGAGATGCCACGAGGAGCCTGGGTGGTGGCGATGGTATTGGTGCTCCTGGCCCAGGGAAAAGGTCAGCCAGGTAGGTGGCCGGCGCGTGAAAAGAGCCTAGAGCAAGGGGGCGGGGAGTGAGCCCTGGGCGATGAGGGACGAGCTCTGCATCTCCATGGCCGCTGCTGAGGTGGTGCCCCAGCGCTTTCCTCCGTGCCCCAAGTGGCCCCTTCGCCCGGTGCGCCCGGGTTGATTTTACGCACAGGCCGTTGCTTCCTCTTCTCTAAGCCCGTGAATCCTGTTTTTATTTGTTTCCTGTCAATCTGATCTTTTAATTTGCTCTAAGGATCTATCCCCGATTAAGCCATGCATAGCAGAGACAGGTGGATCTTAAAACATCCGAAGAATTTCGTTCCCCATTGCCTGGCTCCCAATCTTACCCCCACCCCAGAAATCATTTATTAGTGAATACTGTGTTCCTACAGTACATCCAGAAGTTCAGCTTGTGTGTGATTATTTCCATATTGTTAGAATCCGTTTTCCCACTGTAAAGGATGGTCTTTATGGAAAGCCAGACTGATTTCCAAAGCAGCTGTAGTTTTATATCCCAACAGTATAGGAAGGTTCCAATTTATGTATACTTCTGTCAGCCCTTGCCATTACTTGTTATTTTGATTCCATATTGGACATTTGTGTATGTTTTTGACAAGATACCTACTCAGTTTGTTCCCATTTTATGGCCCTTTGGTTGAGTTTCATGAATTACTTGAAAATTTTAGATTCATTTCTCTTATGAGATACGCAATTTGCAATCATTTCCTCCTATTCTATGCTGTTTGGGTGTTTTTATATTTTATTTAATTGATGATCTAACATAAAATTAGTTTCTCGGCCAATTCTAAATTTAAAAGAATGTTACTCTTGGCTATTAAATTAAAAACAATCTAATTCAGGTTACGAACAAAACTGGGAGACATTTGCATATTCTATCTCTGGATATCTATTATACACAATGTGTTACATTTGTTTAAAGTATTTAATATCTAAGATGTGCCGATTGCATTTTACACAGCTTAGTTGCCTTAAATCATATCAGGAAGAAGCCAGGAAAATCAGAGATGTGAATTTTAATGCATATTTAATATGTACTTTGGAGGAAAATTTTATATTGAGGCTTATATGGAGGAACTAGACTAGGAAGAAGGGATTGCAGTTATGGGTTAGTTCTTGAGGAACTAAGCTATAGAACCTCAAATGAACCAAACCGTCATCTTAATTCTTAGTTAACTGTGCCACATCTTCCAGATCATAGATTGAAATAAACATCTTTAAGTACCCTAGTAATGGAGGAGGTGTTTATTATTTGAGTAACCTGGTAGTAAAGTTGTCACAAGAGTTGCCTTTCTAGGACAACTGTTTTGTTGCCTGTCTGCCCCTCCTCATCACGGAAAGAGGACCTTTATATTTTTCCTCTGTGTGTTTCACAGAAAAAGTTTTTACCAGATAGTACCATTCAGGAAACATGTTCCCTAAAAGAAGCACAGCAACATTCTTTGGTCTTTTCTTGTTTCTTACTAAAACCTGTGCCTCTCTACCCCGCTCCTTTCATAGTTTCATAGTAAAATGGGACTTCCAATATGTGGAAGGAAGGAGGAAGAAAGGAAAATGGGAAGGAAAGAATGGAAGGAGAGAGGAAAAAAGAGAGGCGATGGATTGAAAAAAACACGCCCTATGTTTTCTTGCACTGTAGAATGCAGGAGACTTTAATATGCACAAACTTCACAAATTACAACAAATTAGATTGACATGAAAACAGCCTGAACTCCAGATCTGCTATAAATGAGACTTTGATGTGACTTTGGCAGAAAAAAACTAGAAACTGGGTCAAGGAAAGTGGGTATTGATGTTCAAATACTGAAGATTTGACTCAAGAAGAATCCTTATTATTCAAAATAAACAAATCCTAACTCAAGAGCAACTCTGATCCCTTGTTTTGTTTACACAGAATGAAAATAATCGACTTAAAGGTGAAGTATTTAAAAACTACATTTGAATGAGTTCTGTTGCATTTATTGTGTTTATGGAAAGTGTTAGCATTCTTGACTTTTCACGAGACCTTAATAGCATTTGGAAGATTTTTATTGTTGTTTTAATGGCATTTGTTTGTTTGATTTTGTGCTGGGAATCAAGTTTGAGGACTGAAGTAAGCCAGTGATGGAAACAGTTTACATATGGATACATCTCTTTCTGTCTAGCTCAGGAATGCTCTCCAGGGGGCCACCAGTTTCTTCAAAGTCCATACAGAAGTGTCCACTTTGACTCCATGTACCTACAGCAGTCAAATGCTCAAGATCTGATTTGTGACCACTCCCTTGTCCCTGGGTGGTACCGATTTCTTATCTATGACAGACCTGCTGAGATGCCAACCAAATGTGTGGAGGTACGACTGCAACTCACTAAGAACTATACTACACGTGCTTTGTATTTTTGCTTCTTCATATAATGATTGGATCTTCTCTCAACCTCTTTATTTTTGTGCTAAAATATTATCACTTTATAGAATGGTGTATCAGATATATGTATTTGTTATATGCTTTATATATATTCACCTCAATATCACATATACACATGCATTGATTATATATAGATTTATTGTGTACATACAATACAAACACATGCATAGATATAAGATTTCTTTAGTTTTATTTTTTATTACTTACATTATTTATAAAGAGGGGGATTGTTACATTTTCTATACATAATTATAAATACCTTCCAATCAATCTTACCTCCTCATCACTTTCCTTTCTCTTCTTCATTCTACATTGAATATGATTGTATTTATTATGTAAGATATAATTTTAAATTTAGTATTCCTTAAAATATTTCTATACAAACTGGAGCCAGTGGCTCACACCTGTAGTCTATAGTTACTCAGGAGGATGCTGAGAACTGAGGATCCCAGTTTGAAGCCAGTCTGGGTAGAAAAGTCCATGACACTCTTACCTTTAATTAATTGCCAAAAAGCAGAAGTAGAGTTGTGGCTCAAGTGGCAAAATGCTAGCCATGAGCAAAATAAGCTTAAGAATAAGTGCCTATTCCCTGAGTTCAAGCTTCAGGACCTGTGTGTGCATGCACACACACATGTGCTTGCACGTGCACACACACACACACACACAAATATTTCCTGCATAGTATATATACAAGTTACTAGATATTTTTAGGTGACTGGTAATTTACTGCTTTCAAGCTTGTTTAGAAGAAAGCACTAAGTTGATTTCCCTGCATGAGAATAAATTAGATTTTCAACTTTTATTTCTTTTGATGTAAAAGGTGAACCATTGTGGAACTCAGGCTCCTATCTGGCTGTCTCTAGGAGATTCAGAAACACTGCCTCTTCCTGGGGAAATCAAGCAATTGACTGCTTGCGCCACATGGCAGTTTTTGTTTACAAAGGACTGCTGTCTCTTTCAAATTCCTGTGACTGTAAGAAACTGTGGAGATTTTTTTGTATATTTTCTACAACCAACTCAGGGTTGTATGGGTTATTGTGCAGAAGGTAAGGAAATATCTATCAATCATACCATTGAGCTGCTGATCATGTAGTGCATGCATGCGTGTGTGCGCATGTGTGTGTGTGCGTGCGTGTGTGTGTGTGTGTATAGGTGTGCAGGGATATTACTGTAAATTCCAGATAGGTTTCTTTGTGTTCATGTAACTCATTGCTAAATCGATATTAACGTCTGATTTAAATTGGCCAGGCATGTCCAAGCTTCTTTGCCTACATCTTAAAGCTCTAAGTCATATATGCTAATGTAAAACTACCAAAGCACAATTCTCTCATGGCACACAATCATTGTGTTAAAATTTCTCTGGCTTCTTCTTGCCCTTTCCCTCAGTAATTAAGGCCCAAAGAATGATGAGCAAAAGTTAGGAAAATGTGATTTTACTTTATTTCATCTTTTATTCTTCAATGTTCATTGAGTGTTTATCCAGTGTCAGGAACTGCTTTAGGGCTTTCAGTCACTGTAATGAACAGGATAAATAGATAAGTGAGATGTTTGCCCTTATGAAACTTATGGATGGCCTTATACAATGAATGAAAATAAAACTGAATATAGCCTTAAAAACTAGTATAAGAGGGCTGGGAAGGTGGCTCAGTGGTAGAGCGATTTCCTTGCATGCTCGAGGCCCTGGGTTCGATTCCTCAGCACCACATAAGAAAAAAGCCAGAAGTGGCGCTGTGGCTCAACTGGTAGAGCGCTAGCCTTGAGCTGAAGAGCTGAGGGACAGCGCCCAGGCCCAAAGTTCAGGCCCCATGACTGGACCCCCCCAAACAACAACAACAACAAAAAACTAGTATAAATGCCTATGATACCTTAATATACAAGTAGGCAATTTAAAAAGTAAATAGAACAAAGGCCACTTTTTTGTTTTATGATTAAGAGTATGTTTTTATTATTTTTATTATTATCTTTAAGTAGTTGAATGAAGGAGTTGACATTGAACAAAGCAGTTTATGAAATACAAATCATGATAAATGTTACCACTTTCAACATTCTGATCCATTCCTCCCAATCCATGTTTTCCCTTACTTTCCTTAATTTTGAAGGATACATTGAATTCTTGACTGTATTCTTCCCTCTTCTTCATTCACATATTCCTCTCCCTTTAATCTCATCCCACCTATTTCAATTACCTGGTATTTATTTTGTTGACTTTTGACTTTGCCTTCCTTTCTAAGGAACGACACTATTTAAGTTCTCCCTTGAATCTATCATATTTCAGTTAATACATTTGTATACATTTGCATAAACACCCAACGTATTTACTTGTAATTTTATAAGCTACCTCTAGCTCCTACATATAAGGAAAAACATACAACCCTTGTCTCTCTAGGTGTAACTTAAATCACAATGTAATTTTTTCCAGGCCTTTTCATTTCTTTACAAATGATATTATATTCTTTCTAATAGATGAGTTAAATTCCATTGTGTACATATACGACATTTGCATGACCCCTTGTCCATTGAGGGACATCTGGGCTGATTTCATACCTTGGCTATGATAAGGAGCATGGTTGCATTGGTGGTTTTACTGCATCCTGGTGTGTAACCTTTTTGGCAAATGGCCAGGAGTGGAATTGCTGGATTGTAGGTACTTCTATGTTTAGTATTTTGAGGAACCTGACACTGCTTGATTTTATATGGAACTGTCAAATTGTCTTGCAAAGTATATCTGTCATTTTACATTTCTATCAACAGTGAATGGCCATTCCTGATGCCCTACATCCTTGATAGCGTATTGTATGTCAGTGTGCTCCATGATTTAATAATGCAGATCCAAATTTCGGAAACAAGATATGAAAACTATCACCATTTCAAAATGGGATCCCTTATCAGTCCCAATGGAATTTTTCCATTAAAGAAAAAATATTAGACTGAATGGATCAAGCAAATGTAGTATATGTACACAATGGAATCCTATGCCTCCATCAGAAAGAATGAAATTGCCCCATTTGTTAGGAAATGGAAAGACTTGGAAAAAATTATATTAAGTGAAGTAAGCCAGGCCCAAAGAAACATAGGTCCCATGGTTTCCCTTATTTGCAATAACTAATATATGTCTGAAACAAGCAGAAATGGTGAGATAAGTTGATTTTAGGTGAAAAGAACCCCAAGATAAGGACTCAAATGGTTTTTCTTTCTTGCTATTGTTTCTAACATATTTATAAGATGATTTCTTTGTTGCTTTGTATGTCCCTCCCCCACGGTATAACCCCTGTTTTCACTGTATTTGATGTTGGTATAGTTTGTGGAGGGGAAGGGAAAAAACAAATCGTTTAACTAGGGATACAGGTGGACCCATTGCCACAATGAGATGTACAAGACGTTATGTTGAAAAACGAACTTTACAACTTTAGTGGGGGAGGGAGGAGATGGGAGAGCAGGGATGGTAAGGGGAAACAAAGGCGGCGGCAACAATGCTTGATAAGAAATGTACTCACTACCTTGCTCATGTAATTGTAACCCCTCTGTATGGTATTTTCACAATTAAAAAACTTATTAATAAAAAAAGAATATTAGAAAAACCCATAGAGAGAAAACTAATACGATAGCATTCTAAATTAAACTCATTTTTCTAAGGAACTGTGATACTCTGCTTGTCTGTCTGTCTGTCTGTCTGTCTGTCTGTCTCTCTCTCTCTCTATTATCTTTCTTTTTCCTTCCTTCTTTCCCTCTCTTCCTCCCTCCCTCTCTTTCTTTCTTTCTTTCTTTCTTTCTTTCTTCCTTCCTTCCTTCCTTCCTTTCTCTCTCTCTCTCTCTCTTTCTTTCTTTCCTTTCCAGTTGAATAACTATACAAATCTTACTTTTTGCAGATATTTCTGGTGCAAAAATGTATACATGTGGCCCTGAAGAAATAGAAATTGGAGGTAATTGCATTAGTAAGTATAACATTCTGTTTGTTTAAAACATATTTATAAACTAGTGATTTATAAACTTATGTGGTTGATTCATTTTGTTGTGACTTATTTATGACAGTCTGCAGGAATCAAAAATAAAATAAAACCTTGATTGTATATTTATGGTATATTCCTGGGTTTGGCACAGTACAGATATTTAAGGAAGCATGTGAATATTGGTAGAATCATACAAGAAGAAATCTGATAATTTAGCTCAACTTAAAAAAAATCCACATGTATTCATACCTACAATTATATTATCATAAATATGTTTTAGAAAACTGTTCAAAGTGTGTAGCATTTTTCTTCTAACTCTGTGAGGGAGAAAAAAAGAAACACTGAAAAATCAAACTGTAATTGGTGGCTTATGGATGGAATATGTCTGGATCTATGTAGCACTACTCTACCTAAAAAGAGCTGTGATTTTTCAATAACTGATGATTAATAAAATATTTCTGCTGAGCAAGTAATGACAAAGTATTCTCCAAACACCACTAAAATATGCAAATATAGTCTTTGACAGTAACAAGATATTTGTGGTAAGATACTTGTATCTATGAAATCAGAGTATCAATATACCTCCGTTTTGTTTTCTAAGAAGATTGCATTTATTCCAAACAAGTTTTGAAAGGTAAACGCCAAAGATGTTAGTAATGGTAGAAATTTTTCTTCCTGTTGCAATTTGCCTTTTCCATTTGCTAACTTTATTTAATGTTGTTGTTATTTCAAATGTTAGAAACTCACTTGCTAAGAATGTTCTCGGAAATACACTATCCTAAATTGATTTTCCGGGTGACAAAATATGTGAAATCTACCTATAGCATAGGCAGGAATTAAATTTATTTATTACAATATCAATTTGGCTGGGCATGATGGTGCATGCCTATGATCCCAGTATCGGGGAGACTGAGAAAGAGAATCAAGGCTCTGAGGCCTACCTGAGCTATATAACGAGACCATCTCAAGAAAAAAAATCATTTTGGAGCCATGGAGGCATGGGCCAGTGGAGGAGCACCTTCCTAGCAAAACAAGACCCAGAGTTCAAACCTCAGGACTGTTGAAAAGAACATGTTAAAGCCAAAGGTTAGTTTTACATTTGACCTGTAGTCATCTTTTATGTTCTGAAATAAATGTGGTAAGGTTGATGTGTAATTAATATGATTTTCAACAGAGTTTTAAAAGGTGAATTAAGTCATAATGAGATAAGATAAATCACATGATAATCAGATATCAGTTACCTTTCCTTTAAAAAATACTATTACAATAATCTTCAAAATAATTCACTCTGGGGTGCTTTTCTATACTCTATTCCAATTTTAAATGGATTTTTCTAACCATCTTTTCTATTATTGGTTCAAGGAAATCTTCCTGTGTTTGAAATGTGATTTAAGTTCCTAAAAAGAATGCAATAACATCCACCAATAATAGTAGCAATATCATAAAGTAGAATTATCTAGCAATTCCACACATGTATAGATATTTGCTTCACAATGTGTCTGTAGTATATAATAAAATGACATTGCTTCTTTGAGTAAGTAATAAATGTCAGCTACTTTTGCTAATCAACATATCCATGGACTTAATTGAAAAACATCCTATACAAAACAGTACACAATTTGAGGAATTAACTGCTTTTAAAAATACTAAATGTGCTATACTCATTTGTTTTCTTAAAATATTTAGCAAAATATATGTTGCCAACTATATTGATGCACACCTGTAATGCCAGCACATTGGAGGCTGAAATGGGAAAATAGCAAGTTCAAGGCCAGTCTGGATTATATAGTTGTTAGGAGCCTGTCTCAAAACACAAACAAAATTATGTTAATTTTGTTAATTATGATAAATAGAACAATTTCAAAACAGTTTGTCATTGGGACTTTTGAATATGAGGCCTAACAAAATGATACTTTTAAATATCTGCAAATACATTTTCCCACATGAAAGGCCTTTAAGATCTGAGAATCTTTCAAAATTTATATGACAGAGTAGAAAGATTAGTTTTGTGATTAGTCACAAAATTATAATGTATGCAATAGAAGAGTATTAGTATATTTTGGAATACTTTAAAACACATTTTTAAAAATTATTGCTTAGAGATTCTCCAGTTGCTAAAACAAGGAAACTTTCAGAAATTTGTTCAGCTCCCCAGATCTAATTTCATAAGTACCAGATTTTTTTAAAGTAAATTCTTCATATGAGTTCCTACTTAAAGAAAACTTCATTTATTTAGCATAAAATAATGAAAAGGATAAGATTATTCTTGAATAGAATCTGTTTCACTGACTGTGTAATTACTTTTGCTATAAGCAGCGTTTTCAACCTGATTTAATCATTACAAGCTAAAAGAGTAAATTATGAGAATAAAATGGTCATTTTATTTTACATTCTATTATCTTTCTTTATAATAATGAGTTATAATGTCTAAAACCTGAATTTTATTTGTTCTGTCTTTTAGAAAAGAAATTACCTAAAAGAACATAAGCAATGTTGTTTTTCAAGGACATTCAACCTGTTTTGATATAAGCTTGATGAGCTATACGGCTGTGTGATTAATTAATATTGATGTGATTATAGGTCCAACATAAATGTGGTACTTTTTGCCTACCAGAAAATAACAATTTTTCTGAGTTGATTTCATTTCCACTTTAAACAAACCCCAGGGTTTCAGTCTCCACATGCTTTTCCCAAGAGCCACTTTTGAAGATGCTCAACTTCTGCATTGTACACTTCCTTCCACCAGATCGACTGTCAGTCTCCTCACCACCACCTCCTCCAGGAAGGCCAGAGGTTGTGGTGGAGTTGATTGAATCCAAGCTGTTCTGTAGATGTGCTTTTGATATTCCACCAACAAACACCTCAGTGGGATTTCTCATAGCCTGGTCTAGACTTTCTTCTCAAGAAATCAAAGAGGAGCTGAAACAGGAGACCACAATTCAAGCCTTCTCTCTTTTAGAACTTGATGGCATAACTATCATACTTGGGGATAGGGTATGTGAAAAAAGATTGGACTTCTTTTGTTTTTCATAAATGTATTGATTTTCCAAATTTGACTTCTTTTTAAATTATATTCTAAAAGTAGAATTTTGTTCCCCAAATATAAAATATTAAGGTATTCCTCTTTACCTATGCTATTTCTAGTAATAACTAGAAGAACTTTAATTCTTATTCATGGATATCTTAGTTATATTCTGATCAGTATTGATGAATCTTTTTATATGTCACTTTCAGATGTTGATTATGGAAAACAAAGTTTTACTATTTTCAAAGGTTATATCATTTTACCTATTTTCAAATATGTATCAGACTAAAAGCCCTATTACATCTTCATTTATGTTAAGACTTTAATAGGCAATATTTTATAATGATGCAATTTTTCTCAAATCATAAGTGAATGTTTAAACTATGTAGTACTTCAAACTCTTATGCATCATCTACCAAAAACAGAATTAGGAATTTCTTAAATAACAATTTACAAGTATTTTCTCCATAAGTTTATTACTAAATGGAAATTGTATTTATAGATTTTCTGCAGTGCTTCGGTCTTTTTCTTGGAGAAACCAGATATACTAAGTTTGTCCATTGAAAGCCAAGGATTTTTTGCAGGCATTAAGGTATGTAGCTAGCTAGCAGTGTGGATGGGTGAGAAAGAGTGTTCTTCTGTAAGTTATGTTTTCCAAAGTGTGATCTATCCATGGTGTATTGCTGGAGCTTATTACAAGAAGTTAACTCTCAGAAAAGTATGAAATTTTGAAGAATATCCCAATAATTCTTATGCACAACAAAATTTGAGGATTCCCCCCTCTTCCCTCCTCCCCTACACACACCATGAATAGGCTGATGTTGCCTCATGCCAGGGATCCCGATTTACAGCAGGGTTGTCTGCTAGAAGTGCATCATAGACTGGAAACATTGTTAGACCTAACTGTATGTAATGCACCACGTAATATAACAACACAGCACATACTGCGGAGTAGTGACTGCTCACCCATGTGACAATGGTGCTGTGGCCCATTGCTGTCTGTCTAGCATCGGGGAAGAACACATTACAGCACACTGTTAGCCAGGTGAAAGACCAAATTTAATTTAAAACAAAAATTTGTAAAAGAGTTATATTCTTTTTTAACAAAAGTTAAAATAAAACAGACTTTAATCCTATAGTCCATTCTGTGGTATCCGTAAAAGTTAATGTATTGATATTTAGTGACTGTGTCATGACTACCATAGTATTAACCTAGAGCTTTGAGATTTAATAGAGTACAATGAAGTAACTAAAAATGGCAATAATTTAGGTATCAATAGATTGTGAGAGGTCTGAGCAACAGGATAAAACTTGCTTTTAGATAAAGTCCAGGTTTAAGCAGTAGGGACCAGGAAAAGAGGAAGAATGAACTACATTGTTAGAAAAACTCACCTACAGTTGAAGGGAAAGCAAAGCTCAAACCCTGGGAATATAGTGCTGTGTTGGTTAGCACAGACAATGTCCAGGGCCAGTGGTCCACTCCCAAGGCCTGTTTCTAATTAGGCTAAGAGGAGGAATACTAAGAAACATCTGTTTTGAGAAGCTGGCTGGGTTGAAGTTGCAAAAAAAATTCCCAGCTTCCAGAAAGGATTAGCCTGTGAACTGGAGTAGAGCAAGTCCAAAGATGCAGTGGTATGACTCACTATGGAAAGGAGAGGCTCAGAAATAAATTGAGGGTTGAGAAAGTTCAGGTGATAACAATTTGATTGAGGTATTGAAATATTCCTCAACTTCTAATTAAGAGAGTGGGAACAAGTTCAATTTGTATGGCAGAAAACATTCGCAAACACAAGGAAGAAAATAGGAACCTTTTTTTTTCCCCCAGTGCCTTCCACAGTCCAGAATTGTTAAGGTTTGATCACAATGCCTGACATTGGAGAAGCAAGTTGAGTCTACAATGAGAATACACTCAAATACATTCCATGTATTCTTCAATTTTTAAAAAAATTTAGTCGGTTTGGTTTAGTTAAAAATTCCAGTACATAAGTTATTACCAGTTTATTTGGCAAAAGATGAGCAGTTGAAGATATGTACTTTTGAAATTATGTTTTAGAAATAAGTTCTAAAATGGCCACTGGTGGCTCACATCTTTAGTCCTAGCTACTCAGGAAGCTATGATCTGGATGATCACAAATTAAAATCAGTTCAAGCTGAAACTGAAAGCTGAAGTCAGTTTCAGTTCTTGAAACTCCATCTCCCAAACAAAAACCAAAAAATGCCTGAGTGGAGGCATGGTTCAAGTGGTAGAGCACCAGCCAAGCAAGTGTGAAACTCTAAGTTCAAACTCTATTACTAAAAACAATAGCTCTGAACATAACTGATCTATGTTCTCTTCTACCAGTTACAACCCGAATTGAGCACTATATCTGAAGATGGGAAGGAACATTGGCTGAGAATAGAGAGCACGATTCCTATTGTTTGTTCTGGATTTAGTGAGTTTGATCAAGAATGCAAAGTTTCATTAAAGTTGAAAACAGTTGATCAAGGTAATATACAAAATACATTTGACTTTATTATTATATTTCATATAGTAACTTAAGTCACTAGAGTGCACTCACGTAAAAAGTTAGGCTGCATATGTACATTAAATTATAAGTCAATCATATTAATAATGTGGAATGAAATTGGTGATTTACTGAAGCAACTTACATTTATTCTTCCTGGGTTCAAAGTAGATATTTAGAAATTAGTGTCATCTTCATTGTCATCTTTCACCTGGCTTTCTGCCTCTTCTCCCAATTATTTCTCATCCCTTTCTCCTCACTCTTCCTACTTATTCTTCTCTCTGCTTTGTTTTCAGATCAGAGGGGCAGTTTACTTTTTAAGATTTTCCACAGCATTCACAAAGAGGGAGGTGTGATAAGTTATGCTAAAAGGTCAAGCTTGTGCAACATGGATCTCACAATCCATTCTTCATACTTCTCTCCCTAATGTAATCTTTTGTGGGGGGTCTTTTGTCTTAAAAATTCTTCTTTTCAAATTCCTAATCTTATAGATGTTATGATGAATGGGCCACATATACATCACTGTCAAAGCAAACCTTATCAAGAGAGCCAGAAATCATCCATTAGAATATGAGGAAAAACCAAGTATAACAGTGGTTGGGTTGGTTATTTTTTTAACTAATTAATTGGTTGTGGTCTTGTCCTAATTAATTAACTGTGATCAAAACAACAAAGTAGATGAAAATGGATCCTGGAAGAGGGATTACAATTCCATTCACATAACACATTCTTCTTAACAACAGAAAATAACATTTTTAGTTAATACACTAAACACATGGTACCTAACACAAGTTTCTACATTTTGATGTCCATATTATATTCTATTAAAGCAGAAAAATGAAAAATATACATAAAATCCAAACGATATACCCAAGGGAAAAGATAGATCAAGAGATAGAAAGAAGAAATCTGGAAGGCTACTTGACAGTTATCCAGAATTACAGAATATACATTTCAGTTTTCAGAATACCCATTGAGAGAACTCACATTTCAGAAACATTGAAAACTATGAAAATATACTTCCTCCCTCCCTCTTTACCTCCCCCCTCTCTCTTTCTTTCTCTCTCTCTGTTGGATTCTGCCACAATTCTACTGGAAATTACCTCTGAGCACATATCAGGCAAATACTGTTATAGTTGTTGGGAACAGAAAGAAGATGTTTTGATATTTTTCAAAATTCTATCGGGCAAAGATTTTCTTCAGTTATAAGCATACTTTAAAATATATTTGTATACTTCCCATTTTGCCAACAAAGCAAGCATTTTAATAATAATATAAAAGAAAAAACAAAATAATATAAAGATAGTTCAATTTAAAAATAATATCAAGTCTAGTATTTAGTTTGTTGTACTGCTTGTTCATTGGTTAAACATGAATTTCTCTTTATCTAGAGAAAAATTGCTCCTATTTCTTACATTTTCTTTCTTCACTGTTCTTCTAATAAGTCTCTCCTTTGCTAGAGAATAAGTCAGTATAATGCATGATGCCCTGGGTTCGATTCCTCAGCACCACATAAGCAGAAAAACTGGAAGTAGCTGTGTGGCTCAAGTGGTAGGGTGCTAACCTTAAGCTGAAGAGCTGAAGGACAGCGCCCAGGTCCAGAGTTCAGGCTCCACAACTGACAAAAAAATTTAAAAAAAAATAGGAACAAGGATAACTTCTATTTGTTTATTCCATCTTATTAAACACTATTTTCAATTTAACATGATATATTGTGAAGCTTCAGTATGCATTGTTCATATTACTGTTTCCATCTCCTTATTACTTTGAGTTATTTACTGCTTTAGAATTTTATTTAGATGTGTATATATTTATATATTGATGATTTATTGAGACTATTATTGTGGAAATGGTAATATGATAGAGAAGCGAATTTGTTCAAATTGCATTGTGAACATGCATGAACTATTATTCTCATGTATGCAAGTTCCTATATCAATAGTGCACACTATTTAGAATAAAATTTTAAAAAGTAATATTTGGGTATGACAGGATTTTCTTAAAATCTGTGTTTGTTTCTCTCAAGAGCATTAACATATTTGGTTCCTAATTATAATGTTTATTTTAATGTCATTACTAACAATGAAGCTATTATTAAAATTTCACATTAGATTCTCCTTTGAAATAACAAGTGTTTAAAAGTCACTTGAAATAGTTATTTTGTTTTGTGTTTACTTACCAATTTAGCATACACTTTTATAGTCGTGTATTTTATGTTTTCAATATCTACTTGGTTCAAAATCAAAATTATTAGAATGATCTGTTTCTGAATTATTCTTCCAGTATTTCTCTAAGCAAAGATAAACACACTTACATAAACATATAAAAATAAATTATTAATATGTATGTATTGTGCATTAGCTTATTTTACAATTTAGACCAAGATTGCAGCAATAATTTTAATTTAAGTATTAAGGTAATTTAAGATTTCCAGTTTAATGTTTCATGTTAATCAAGTGACCATGTTCTTTGGTTGGTTAGGGGATATTCTTGGAAGAGTTTTTAATTTTATTTCCCATTAAAATAGGTAATGAACAACTAGGCTTAAATTTGGCATTGTCTTCCTGTCATGTGGACCTGCTCCAGACTTCATCCTGTATCAATGGAACTTGTAGCCATGCTATTGTACACTATATGGCTGTAACAGACTTTTCCCGAGATGGAGATAGAATTACAAACATTGAAGTACAGCCTGTGGTCAAGGAGAACTTCTTGTGGAGCAGCTACATTCCAGATGGCATTCAGGTGGAAAATTGCAAAATGATCTTTATAACTTACATATTAAAAAGACATGTGTAAGCTGGGCACCGGTGTCTCTTGCCTGTAATCCTAGCTACCCAGGAGGCTGAGATCTGAGGATCAAGGTTCAAAGCCAGCCTGGACATGAAAGTCTGTGAGACTTTATCTGCAATAAACCACCAGAACAACAGAAGTGGCTCTGTGGCTCAAGAGCTAGAGCTCTAGCCTAGATCTGAAGAGCTGAGGGACAGCGCCCAGATCCAGAGTTCAAGCCCCATGACTGACAAGAAAAAAAAGACATTTGTCTTTTATCACTGATTCTTATAATTTTTTGTTTAAAATTATTTGCTAAATGGTTAGTCTTTAAATGATTTGATTTTCAATAACTTTAGTATAAAGCACAAATTCATTGAAAATTCAATGCAATTCTGAAGTAATTTGTTGTCATTAAACCGGTAGTAATATTCGTTAACAATATGTTTATTTTTCAGATAAAAGTCAAGGATGTTCCAACTGCTTACTGCTATTCATTTACTGACCCCCATATAATTACCTTTGATGGCAGGTAGATTCTTGAAAGTTTTTTCTTTTAATAGTTTTGTTTGTTTGGGTTTTGATAGCATTTTTTAAACATCCTACTGTTTTATCATTTCTTAGTCTCAGTCACAAAAATTTAAAAGGAAGGCAAATATGACCCTTGTTGACTGATTTTAAGATGCTAGTCTATTTATATAGATTTTTTATCTTAAAACTAATGCTTAGTAAAAAGAATGGACAGATTGTGAATTTGAAGTTGTAGAAAGGAAGATTATTATGAAGATTATTATAAAATTTGCTTGGTCATTTACTTTAGTAATGATTAAATTATTTGCACCTAAATGTTTACCTGTTGATTTCTTATAAGAAATCATCTGTGTGGTTTATACATAATACATGAATTAACACACTAGATATAGCTTAGAAACATTATTTTTAATTATTTATAAACAAATGCTTCATTTTTGCCTTTGAAATTTAAGTAAAAATAGACAAAATGACTACAAAGTAATCTAAGCTATCCTGCTATTAATGTCTGCCTAGAAAGATTTAAACTCAATTTTGCTGCTCTGGGAAGTTCATGATACCAAGAAAAAACTGATGGAAAAAACTGATACCTTATTGTTGAGTTATATTATCTTATGATGCAAAGTACTTTCTTTTAATTGGCATGTGATCAATAAAAATATTGTTTTGTATAAGTGAATAGATGGAAAACCCCAAGAAATAAAATAAGGCACTCTACAGATTCAAGCAAGTATTGAGAAGTTATCAGAAATCATCTCTTATACAAAAATCTTTTATGGTTATAATTTAAGACTCAGAAGTTTTGGTGAAAAAAAGGGTTCAAGAATGCATAGTGGTGATAAATTTAAACCAATTTAACTCAACAAGTCAATTATTTGGCCATTAGATTATAAGCTATATTCTTAGTTTTTTGGGGGGGATATAGCACTGTACAAAACAGATAAATTCTCCCTGCCCCCATGGAGCTGACCTTGGAAAGGATGAGGAGAGAGATGAACACAATTAATCATTATAATATACGAAGTGTTTGTGGTAAATATACACCATGAAGAAAACTAGAAAAGGGTGGGAGGGAAAGGCTGGAATTATGGCTTGTAATTTATATCAAAACAGACTGGTTCCAGAAAGCCATTAAGTGAGAGTAGTATTTGGACAAGTATTTGAAGAAGAGGAAGACAACCATGCATGCACAGTCAGCAAGACTGCCCTCCACCTCCAAGCTGCCTCCCTGGTGGAAGGGAAAATGAGTAATGGGGAAATTGAGGTGTTTGATTCATGCATGCAAATAAATGTTCAGGACAAATAAAGCTATTGGAAATCTAGATTTTTTCATGTTAACATTGAAATATATTGAATGCATATAACTGTATTGAGTGTATACTTTCTGTTTATAACATATTATTGTGATATTTATACTGACCCGATGCAATTTTTGTTAATGATAGGGTATATGATAACTTCAAGACTGGAACATTTGTGCTTTATAAGAGTACAGCACGTGATTTTGAAATCCATGTGCGCCAGTGGGACTGTGGAAGTCTTCACTATCCTGTGTCATGTAACTGTGGGTTTGTTGCCAAAGAAGAAGGTGATGTAGTTACTTTGGATATGTGCAGTGGAAAGTTACATGAATTGCAACCATATTTATTTGTAAAGAGCCATGATGCATCCAGCAATATCAAGATAACTGAATCTTACTTAGGAAGAAAAGTCACAGTATGTATGATTCTTTAATATTGAAACCATTTTCCTTCTGAATGAATTCCTATTAATCTCTATTAAATTAGGAATTAGTATTTTTATATTAATTTGTCCAGGAAAAACGGAATTTATATTAACTATGATCTTGGAGTAAAAATCTTTTCATCTACTACACAGAACTAAATACAATGTAACTAAAACTGTTAAATTGACATTTCAATTGCTGCCTCATTTGACATTTCAATATGACAACCCTGTGGATTATTCAGAAAAAGTAATTTTGATAGTATCTAAAAATATGATAAAGATGGAAGAGATAATTAAAAATGAATATTCAGGAATACTTAGCCATTTCAAATGAATGCAGTGTCACTATTTATGTCAGGAACAGGCTCCTGGGTAAGTAGAATTGCACAATGTCAAAAGGGGAGTTTCAGGTTCGACATTTGTGACTCATGATCTGACTTCTTTTCTATGAACTCAACATTGCTGGATATTACTTAGAGGTTTAGAAAAAAATCAGTATCATAAATATGACCATTTATTTTCATACTTGTTTTTCAAAAGTTCCTTCCTGGGTTTTACTCAACTGTAAGAAAAATGCTTTCAGAATAACTGGGGGAAATGCTTTTAACTTGTAGTATTTAGGAAGATTAATCTTAAAACAATCTTAACCGTATCTACTCTTGTTTGTTTGTTCATATCTGTTGTATTTGTAAATAGCAACCAATAAGCCCCCTAAAAAGTGTTAGAAGTCAACAGAATGGATACTAATAAAAAAAGTAAAAATAAATTCAAATAGACCCAAACTTGTATATTCATTAATATTTTAAGATAATATTTCATATCTATCAGCTAACTAAACCTTAAAGTCATATTTATTTTTCCTCAATTTTCAAAAGAATGATTTCAAGGTATATAATTTAAATGTAAATAAAATATGGTAACATGATGTTTTTATAAGCCTTATTTAAGGGAACAATAACATATCTGAATTCAATCATAAAAAAACAAAATTCAAATCAATAATTTGGGGCATACTTATTACATGTAGAGCACAGTTAATACACATCTCTTAAGACCAGCCGGGAGTGAGATTCTGTTAGAGAAGATGATAGATAGATAGATAGATAGATAGATAGATAGATAGATAGATAGATAGATAGATGGATGGATAGATAGACAGACAGACAGACAGATAGAGCGAGCAGCATACACATATGTAATTAAAAAAAGAAACAGTACTAGAAAACATTGTCTAACTGTACAGTCAACAAAAATATAAATTTATTACTTTTTTGTAATTAAACAAATAACATAGAGCAAACATCTCTCATAAAGCACTGGCAAAATTAGAGATAGTGAAACTAGTCTTTCTAGAGGACATATATATTTTATATGCTCCCACCCTAGATATGTATTTTATTTTACCAAACATTTTATTTTTGGAAAACTATTATAGTGAAATAAGTATGTATATAACCCCAATGATAATCCTTCTGTCTCTCTTGTAACAAGAACTATTATAAGTAATCAGTGATTAATAACTAACACTCTAAATATAATGACCAAAGAGTAAACAATATTATAGTTGTGAAAATAATAAAGTACATGTGTATATACTGACAAAGAGACTGTTGAAGAATTTACACTGAGATCTTCACATTAGTTACTCTGAAGATGAATGTAACATTTCTCTGCATTTAATTATTGGTAAAACATACCATTTTAAAAAGAAAGAAGTATTATTTTCATTAAAAGCAAATTAGTAACAGCACATTAATCAGAAAAGCAAATATAGGTAGTATATCTTTTGTGACTTTTGATTTGAAGTGATTATTTTTCCTCCGTGTCTGGTCTGGGCCAGGTGAATTCCACAGACCCAGACAAGTGGCACCTAGTCAGGTGATACAGGTTACTACAGTCACGCAGCAAACTCTTCCCACACTAATTGCCAATTCCTCAAGAAGCTTCTGCTTATAATTGGCTTCTGATTCTATTTACCTACTAGCAACAAGAGAATGCTGGTTAACCACAGGAACATGTTCTCTAGAGTTACATGTATTGGTATGAATTAATTGCTTGTCAGTCTAGTCACTTATTAAATAACTACTATCAGAAAATGACTGGGTAAACACTAATTTATAACTATCCTGGTTTTTTAAAATACTGTCTTTTAGTTTAAAAAATTAAAAAGGGAGTTGAATGCACTGTATCTCCAAAAGTTAAAAAGATAAAGATTAATATGGTGACCAAATTTCAAATGAGGAAAATGAAAAAAAATATTCTTTTGCAACAAATTAATATTTTGTTCTGTTTATGATAGGAATAAGTGAGTTTGTTCCATATGTACTTAATTGACATCTTTGATTTCCTCAATGCTTACTTCTGTGTTTCAGATTTGGTTTTCTTCTGGAGCATTCGTCCGTGCTGACCTTAGTGAATGGGGTGTCAGTCTCACCATCAGAGCCCCTAGTTCGGATTACAAGAAGACTTTGGGACTCTGTGGTACCTTCGATGGAAATCCTGAAAATGATTTCCATGATAAAAATGGAATCAAATTGGATGAAAATTTTAATGATTTTATTAAGGAATGGAGGTAAGAAATGAACCATTGTAATTACATTAAGATGGAAGTTAAATGAATGCTGATTCAATGTTCTTCCTTTCTGCATGTCATTGCTTGGAAAACGTTTTTGTTCAAATCCTTCTTTTCTGTTTTCCTTCTGGAAGGATTGTACCTGGAGAGAGCATGTTTGACACTTTGCCAACTTCTCTCACATATCCTACAAGACTCTCTTATTGTAGCTGTTCACTGGGATCTGCGTCTGAGCACTCATTTCCTAATCATGCTTACAGTGTTTCTCAGCCAGAAATTGCTTCTGTTTGTGAAGATATCAGACATGTTCTGTTCTCCTCTTTGATACCAGAACTAGATGTCACTTCAGAATACATTAAGACTTCTGAGGACTTGAACCTAGAAGCTCTTGACAGAGGAATAAATAAGCACACATCTGGAGATGAAAATAAGTTGGATTTCTTGTTGCAAGAAACAATGTTTGCAAACCTAACCAAACTGGACTTGAATTTACAACATCCTGGGAATGGAAAACAAGATGCACCAGAATATTTGGACAAGGAGAGAAAGAACCAAGAGAGTTACAGCCAAGACTTGAAGTGGAATCAGCTACACCGATGGAAACGACAAAACGTTAATGAATTTCTGCTTTCGCTGGCTTTTCAAAGTCACAATCAAATGAACCTGGAAAAGTTTTCTTACTTTTTCCCTGAGGATCATGTCGAAGATGCCCATCTAGAATTTGTCCCCTCGTGGCCCACACCTTCTGGTCTTACCAAATCCAGCACCTTGGCTCTCTGTCAGCAGACACTAGCCAACTCCAGCATAGGAAGGCTCTGTCTTGCTTTTCTTGGCAAGAGACTAGGTCAGGCCATTGACATGTGCATTAAGGATGTTCTTCTAAAAGATGATGCTAGCTGGGCAGAAGCCAGTCTGGCGCTTCTGGAAAATGAATGTGAAAAGAGAGTTTCAGAAGAGAGAAAATGGAACAAGGAAGAACTTGAAGACGTTCTCCTGGTATTAAAATGCCCAGGCTTATGCAGTGGCAATGGGCAGTGTATGGAATGGGGATGTGTGTGTTTTCCTGGCTTTAGTTCCTACGATTGCAGTAAATTATATGGTGAGTAAATACCTTCCAACTGTGAGATTGTGACATTCAGTTATGCAAGTGATTTGCTCTGTTTTATCTTTAGTATGTTAGAGCTTATAAAGATTACATAAAGCAAGATCCATATTGCATTCATTATTACAGTAATGATTTCTCCTGATTCACTATAATAGGTGAAATTCTTACAACTGCCTGTAAGCACATTAGGATCTCGAGTGCCATGTCTTTCCAGGCCCAAGTTCTTCCTCTGTCACCCTATTGTTCTCTCCAGACCCTGTGGTCTCTGTGCTGTTCTTTGGAAATGCCAGGCTTTTGGCTGGGGGTATGACACAAATGGTAGAGCACTTGCCTAATAAATGTAATAATAGGCAAAAGCAGCAATTGTTAGATAGTAATATTAACTACTATATCTATAATGAGATTATTATTAGTTTTAAAATGCCAGATGTATAATGGGTTAATTCAGTATTAAATACAAGCTAGCAATTAACTAATTTAATACTACTAGCTAAACTATTTTACTACAAAATACAGTACCCTACTGAAATATTTTGTTACAAATATACATTTTTTCCCTTAGTCTGCATATATAATGTAAACTCATATGGCAAGCCAAAATGTATTTTGTTAAGGTAGTTATTTATTAGCACCTCTCCTTAATTAATGACAAATATTTTAAAAACCTTAACAAAATGCATATTTAGATACTGATAGTATCTATACCGTCCTTTTTATTGGTTTGATGGTAGATGTTAGCATTTCTGTTAATACCAGATTACAATTAACGTATAATGGGTTAATTCCTATAAAATATTTTGAGTAAGCTTTGAAATGTTATCTTATGTATGCTTTTAATTCGGGCCTTGAAACTAATTGTTCTGACTTTTTGTGTTATTTCTTCTATTTTGTTCAAAGATAAGACCCCTGAAATAACTGAACTTGAGAATGCTGGATTCTGTGATGTTCAGAGATATAACTGTGTGATGGTCAGAGTTTTTGGTGAAGACTTCAAGACTTCCATTAAGTGTGAAGTTACCAAGCTGCAAGTATGATTATTATGGACTTTATGACAAAACATTTGAAACGATTGAGTTTAAGAATAATTCAGATTGATTTTTATCTCGGTTTAGTTTTGTCAATTAGTTAGCAGAAAACCCTCCAGAAGACAGTAAGTCCACAAAGTCTACAGGGAAATTCCTTTGTTCCTTAAGTTCAAGATTTATCTTTTTAATTGGATGTGGTGGCTCAAACCTGCAATCCCAGCTATGCAGGTGGTAGAGAAAAAGGAAATTATGATTTCAGGCTAGCCTGGGCAAAAGGTTAGCAAAAATCCGTTCCAACAAACAAGCTAGGCCTGGTGATATAAAAACCAAGCACTGGAATGCAAATTTATTCTCCCAGCTCTATGAGAGGTCTAAGTAGAAGACTTCAGCCTGAAGCCAGAACTGAGCCAGACTTTACCAGAAAGATAAGCCAGTCTTCCCAGAGGAGGCTGAGGGCTGTGGTTGAAGTGGTAGTGCACTTGCCTCACAAGTGAGGATGTAAATTCAAATTCCAGTACTGCCAACAAAAAGCTGCCTTATTTACAAATTCTATTGAGATATTTTACATCATTGCTATTGAAATACAGAATTACTACTTACAGTCAAAATAACAAACTAAAAGGATATCAAGAAATCTCTATTTCTGATTTCACTATCCAGATGGCAGTTTCCTCTATGCTTCCAAAAGATAAATATCAAACCCTTTCTGCATAGCCCTTCAAGATGAGGTTAAGCCTTAGTGGCTTTGTTTTCATTACACATTATTTCAATCTCAGTGATAGCAATGATAAAGTGGCATGTTGTGTGGTTTTCCATTTTCTGTTTCTTTACATAAGAGTATCCATAGCATGTACTAGAGACTCACAGGATATTTATGAATAGTCAGGACATATAATCCTGTTCATTTGGGGTAAACCATCATTAGAGGGTATGAAAACTAAAATCAGTTTCCACATCACAAACCAAGGGGACCTTGCATTCCTGAAGTACAATGAGTACACCAAGACATTCCATCCTCTGCTAGAAAAAAAACCACTGTCAGATCTGCAATCAAATAAAGAAATTTATATTATGGCTTATTTTTCAATCTCCAATTTTCAACATGGTGGTTTCTACAAGCCACACACTAGAATGTGCTTGGCTATCTTTGTTATTATTTTTTTTTCTGCTGACCTGCAGTATTGAACCATCAGTATACTGCATGACCAGTGATAAATGGGGGAAAATACTCTACAACCAAAGCAATTTTACGTGAAAACCTAACATTTGCAACAGAATATACTTTCTTTCCATATAATTACTAGTTGTCAGAACAAAATTATTCTGACTTTTCCAGTTTAGGCCCTATGGCATTTTTACAACACTGTAAAACAATATCTAAAGTGTAGCTTATGCATTACAGACCACTGAGTTCATAAATAGGAGTAACTAGTTAGAATTTTACTTTTAAATGGTGTATAAAATTGCTCAAGCAAAAAGGCCCCTTTAATGAAGATAGTACATTTCTTATAGAATTGAGGAGAAGAATATAGACAAATTCCCAGAGGGAAAAATAACTTGAACATGTTGACATTTGGACACTGTGACAAAAATTTACTTGCAAATTTTTATCAGTTCTATTCTTTCTGGGCTTCATTTTTCATTTTTCTATATACTTGTTTTCTACATATACTTTACATGGTCAAAAGTAGTTCCACAGTTCTATCTGGAATCTCAAGCCACCAGAGACAAACTGGTCCAACATTCTGTTTGGTATAAAGTTGAATTATTACAAGGAGTTAAAGCACTAACTCACTTAGTCCTTCCCCTGAACAAGGGAGGGATAGTGAGGAAGGTGGATTGTCTGACATCCTAAGAACTCAGTGCTACCCATAACGAAGAGGAACAAAGGCAATTTCAAGTAGATGAAGAAGGTATAAAGTTCTACAAGACAAAAAGAGAAAGTTTTAGATGAGAAAATCCATCCATTAGGTGTTATCTATGTAGTCAGGTGTGTGTCCTTTTGCTCCAAAAATCATTGCACAGTGATTCATCATATATGCAAATATTGATCATTTCTTCAAGTTGAACACTGAAGTAAACACACACTTATTAGGGGCAGTTTATATTCAGTTAAAATGTCTATGTTTTCATTATTTTGAATGCAATTCACTCTCCATAGGTCTTTGTTTCTTCATTGTATATTCTATTGTGGTAGACATATACCTTAACGTTTGTATTTGACTATATGTAAGTTACTATCTGAATATTTTTCTGGTTTAACAGAAATTAATTTCTTTCTCATTTAATGCCTTCAGTATAATGGCCATAAATGGGTGCTGGGAGAATCCATCTCTGTTCAGACGATCTTTCAGAACAACAGAACTGTTGATTGTCACTTACCAACTGAGGTCCAGCAGGCTAATACCATGGATCTGATGGGTGAGAACTCAGTTGTGAAGTGGCAGTTAAAGGTAAAGTGGTAACAAAAAATAAAAGATATATTTTCATTTATAAACATAGTAAATAGTCATGAAAATTCATGAGTTTATGATGCTACATTCAGAACAAATCATCTTACTATACAAATGCATCTTGCAGGTGTCTAATGATGGTTACAAATATAGTAATCCCAAAGTATTGGTCATATACAATGGAACTTGTCAAATTTGTGGTCCCTATGAAAATGACTCATGTACTATGAAGGTATGTATGTTTTTCACCTACTTGCACATTTGCTCACTGGAAGTCTTACTTCCTGTGCTAATGCTATATCTGTTGTAGTTTTTCCACCTTTATATTAGAAAAACACAGAGAAATCCCTTCCTCACATTTATAAAAGGTTAATTGTAATTGTTCTTTTTCTATACTGAAATGACAGATAAGAGGTAACCATCACTATTTTGATTGGCTGGTTCTTTCCTTCCTTCCTTCCTTCCTTTTCTTTTTTTAATGATAAGAAAGGGCCAAATTTTCTTAGATTATATGGGTCATGCATACAGATTGTTTATTTTTAAAAAATTAAAAGATGAGGTTCATACTGAATTATTTACTATACAGATTGTTTTTTAGTAGCAATTTTTTTCATATCAGATGTCTCTGTTGTTAGTTACTTTTATGGCAAAAGGTAATCAGTTGACTAGAGTTTGTATAAGGTTAGAACTTTTACAGAGAGATGTTTTATTTGTTTCTATATTAAACCTTCCATTTTGTTTTTATCTCTCTTTTTTTTGTTAGTCCTGGGCTTGAACTCAGCTCTTCAGCTCAAGGCTAGCACACTACCATTTGAGCCACAGTGACACTTCTGGTTTTCTGGTGGTTTATTAGAGATAAAGAGTCTCATGGACTTTCCTGCTTTGAACCGAGATCCTCAGATCTCAGCCTCCTGAGTAGCTAGGATTACAGGCGTGAGCCACCGGTGCCCGGCGAAGTCTTTTCTTTTTTTGGGGTCCGGACGTGGGGCCTGAACTCTGGGCCCCACTGGGCCCCGCTGTCCCTCAGCTCTTCATCTCAAAGCTAGCACATTACTACTTGAGCCACAGCGCCACTCTGGCTTTTTTTTCTGCTTATGTGGTGCTGAGGAATCGAACCCAGGGCCTCATGCATGCAATGCAAGCGCTCTACCACTGAGCCACCTTCCCAGCCCGAGATTATTATTATTATTATTATTATTATTTTGACAACTAGATTCTTCAGGCTATGTGAACTAATATCTTCCCACTATACTCTCAACTTTATGTCTATCTAGTTTACTGGGCTTTTTTAATATATAAATGAATTGATTACTTAACAGATACCAGAGACCCAGTATTATTCGATCTCAAAATTGATGAGCACACACACACTCTCTCACACACACACACACACACACACACACACAATGAAGTTCTGATTCTTGAGAAGCTGATTTTATTTTTACTGCTTATCTCATTGACATACCAATAAACACTTCTTAAATATTGTTATACAAGATTGTGCTATTTTTGTTTCTTTGTATGTTCCTCCCCCATGGTATAACCCCTATTTTCACTGTATTTGATGTCTGTGCCCTGCATCTTCTTGGGCTATTTTTATTCTAATTCTTATTTAGTATTCTAAGTAATATCAAAGGAGATTTTGTAAAATAACAGTGTTTATAATCAAATTTGAATTTTCTGAATAAAATTTGGTTTTCTCAGACTAAGAAAGCCTGCTACATTGAATGTTCTTTTTCTGAATGCCATAATCTCCTTCAACTATTTTTGTAATATTTTTTGTAACATAACTACAAACTAATGTGAATTTTTAAGACACACAAAAGAAAATGTCAGTTTGTTATTTAGTAAAATATTTTCAGCATAAGTTTATCAGTGAAAAGAAGTTTTTCCTCTCATGTTATTTATAAACTATTCACTATATTTTTTTTACAGTTCCCATATATTCTTTCAGGTAGATCAATTCCATAGGCATTTATACTTATTATAGGAAATAATTTATCTTCTAGCACACACTTATAATTACAAGATAAAAAAATTGTAATCAAATCGGAGCTGTACTACACTTTATTGGAATCATCCTTCTATATGTTGCTATAATCTATCCACAATTTTTATGTACTAGCTATAACATGTCTTTATTGTTATTTTCCTTTTTAAAAAATTTTCCACTAGGAAAATGTTTGTGTTATAGATGGGCTCTGCTACGCTGAAGGCGACAAAAATCCAACTATGTCATGTTTGATTTGTAAACCACAAACCTCAAACTTTACTTGGTCCCATTTAGAAAGTAAGTTATTGTTTATTAATGCATATATTTCATGTATTAACTCATATATATGTATCAGTTTTAGAGTGTATTTGGACCACAAGTTACAGAAATGTGTTTTAGATAGATGAACACTTTATCTAATTAGCATTTTTCCTAACACTGTATTTTAATTTGCGGTCACAAATATGAGTTTATTTTGTAGTCTGTCATGCATTGGGTATTGACATTTGGGTCAATGACAGGTCACAGATACGATGGAGAGCCCATAAAATTATATCACCTAGTGATGTCATAGCTGCCTGACTTTGGGAGCTGAACTTTATGATAGTGACAAAATAACAAAATTACCTAAAATTCCATTTCTCAGAACTTCACCCCCACCGTTAGTTATAAGTGGGTGCCTTTTTAAAAATGGCTGTGTTATGACCAATATATGAAGATCCATAATGTTTTGAGGATGAGGAAATTTTGAAAACAAACCATGCTGCTTATTAAAACATATCCTTGGCAGAATGGGGGCCAGAACTAGAGCTGTGGCCTTAGTGCTTCACTGATGTAGCAAACACAGTGCTGCTTAGTAGAGTCACTTAATTCTGCCTACATAAAAATGGTTTTAAATTATTTTGTAAGCATAAGGGGAACCCCCAGATACAGTCACTTTATTAGTGTGTGTGGCTGGCCACAGGGAAGGCTCTGAAGGAGCAAGGGAGTTATATAATTAATGTCTCTCATTAATTAGGAAAGCAGGTTCAGTGATGAAAACTGAGGGAGTCAAATAAGAAATATAGTCTAAGCCAGGCTTTGGTGGCTCACACCTGTAATCCTAGCTACTCAGGAGGCTGAGATCTGAGGATCATGGTTCAAAGCCAGCCTGGGCAAAAAAGTCTGTGAGACTTTTATCTCCTCTCCAATTAACCAACAGAAAACTGGAAGTGGTGCTGTGGCTGAAGTGGTAGAGCACTAGCCTGAGCTGAAGAGCTGAGGGACAACACCCAGGCCCAGAGTTCAAGACCCATGACTGACAAAAAAAGAAAGAAGAAAAAAAAAAGAAATATAGCCTAGACAGTGAAGGAGTGGAAAGGGAAAGTTCATGAAGAGAATGTGTGAGAGAGAACACACAAGTGCACACAGCAGAGAGATTGTGAACACAGAGGAGGAAGGCAAAAAGGAAATGCATCAGTGTGGGAAGTCTGTCCATCAGGGCAGTAGCAACGCACTTAGGCATTTTATGCTGTATCTAAAGTGTTTTGATGCTTCCATAGCCAAACTTTAGGTTTGCACTTGACAGTTACTTTTTCATTTTCTTAGAATGGAACTCAAGTTGCTCTGTTTAAAAGACTGAAAGGAGCTAATAGAGCTTTTTAATCAGAGTTTAGCTTCAACAGCCTCTCTACTGGACTCTGAATCATATTTTTTTTCTTTTTTACACAGGCACAAAATTAAATGCTGTCTCTGTTACAGGAAACCAGCCTCCTATGATTCAATCCTTGCAAGACAAAATACAGACCTTTTATGGAGAAAACTTTGAGTACCAGATCATGGCCCTGGATCTAGAAGGTTCTGAGATCCATTTTACATTGGATTCTGGTCCTGAAGGAGCAAGTATTTCTTCTGCAGGACTTCTTACATGGAAAGCAGAGGCACAGATTCCCCCACCATTCTCCATACGCCTTCAGGATGACTGTGGTGCTGAGGCAAATGTCAATATTCAGGTCAGACTTGTAACTACATTATTATCACTGGATCCTCTGCTAAGGAAACATAGTGTCTTAATTTCAAACAGCAATAAAGTTCTTTACCATTGTATGCTTGATAGTTCCTTGAAACCTGAGAGACAGTGAGGCCCAGAAGCCTAGATCTAAGTGAACAATCTCCACCATTTTATTCTGTACTTAACTATGATAAGGAAGCAGAACTCATTCATTTCCACCTCCACTAATGGCCTCTTAGTAAAATGAGAACAATAATTATACCTTTTTCTTCAGATTAAAGACGTTCATATTCTAGTTACTTTTGTTCACTCATCAATGTGGCTATCATAAGCTTTAAAAATTTGTACACTGTTTATAAGCCATAATTGTCTTGAGGGTTGGGATATACTGTTTTCTTGACATTAGAAAGGACATGTATTCCATACCATGATAATGTAGGAATTAAAGTAATCATTTTCTCTCTAGATTTGAGAATAATCAGAGTAATTAATTGGTTCCCTGGTGGGTGATTTCCCCCCTAATTATTTAATTTACTTTATAACAATTGATCATCTTTCTTACTGGGTGTGGTGGTATGTACCCATAATCCCCAAACTAAGGAGACTGAGGCTAGAAGAGCACAAATCCAACACCTTCTCAGGCTACATAATGTGACACCAGCTTAGATGCATAGAGAGAATATATCTCAAAAATATTAAGGGTATAAAGAGAATTTGTGGGTGGAGTCAAGACTCAAGTGGAAAATCGCTTGTGTAGCAAATAGGAGCTCTTGAGTTCAACCCCTGGTACAAGAAAGAAGGAAAGATGGGAGGAATGAAGATAAGAAGACAAGAAGGCAGGAAAGAAGAAAGGAAGGAAAGAAGAAAAAAGAGGAAAGAGAAAGGAAAGAAAGAGAAAGAAAGAAAAAGTAAGAAAGAAAGAGACAGAAAGAAAGTACAAATGAACAAAAGAAAGGAAGAAAGGAAGAACTTGATCATTGTGGAACATTTCTTGAAATATTGACATCAGTATGTATATTTTGGTTGTGCTCTTGATCCTGGGCATAAGCTGCCTTATTAAATTATTTTAATATCATTATATGTAATATATATTGCATATAAAATGCCTGATTGGATCATACACAAAAAATATAAATGCCTATAGTTAATTTTATTTCAAATATTTATTTTTTCTTTTGTAGGTGGCTGTAAAATCTTGTGACTGCTTGAATGGTGGATTGTGTGAGTCCGATAGGAGCTTTCCTCCAGGGAGTGGCGCATACTTGTGTGTCTGCTTGCCTGGCTTCCAGGGTGGTCGTTGTGAAGAGGATGTCAGTCAGTGCCAATCAAACCCTTGTGGCCTTGGCAGATGTCATAGAGGTTTTGAAAGCTATTCTTGTGAGTGTCCACCTGAGTTCAAAGGTAACTTTTGGTTCATCATGAACTAAGTCAGAATATGAATCAATTTGAAATGGGAGCTCCTTGGAACAGCAATGAAGAAACTATATGAACTCTTGATTCATTTCCTATAGGAAAAAACTGTGAAGAAGATGTTGATGAGTGTAAATCTGGGCCTTGCTTTCCAGGAGCAGAATGCTTCAATACCTTTGGCTCTTATTATTGTAGCTCATGTCCAAAAGGATTTTATGGTGATGGGAAAACATGTCACAGTAAGAGTTCCTATTTTCTTTTCTGCTATGGGCTGATTTCTGATGCGTTTAATTTATTTGAGTGAGTTGACTCCATTCTCTCATTCACTCCTGTGTTACCTTGGGGCATATGCATCATCTTGTAAACTGAAATAAATGACGAGCATACAGAAACGTAGGAGACATGTACTCTGATTGAATAGGCAAGAATGGAGTATCAAGGAATATGACTAGTGATCACAAAGTGCAGTAAGGGATTCTTTGTTTTTGAATAGAAGTACAGCATGAATAGAAGGAATGGTATATGGGGCATCATGGCTTCCTGGAAGGATAAGAAACTTGAAAAAGGAAATGTCTAGTCTATGCTAGAACTATAGGATCTGCAAGTCAACGAAGAGAAAAAGCATTCTGGGAAGATGGAGCAGCATGGGAAAAGGCACAGAGGCCGGGAGCACCACAGGATGCATGGGACCTTGTAAATAATTCACTAGGAAAAAGAATCAAGGAGAGCTTCTAAGAGAGTTGAAGCTAGAGACAATTAGCAGACAGACCATAGGAGAATCATGTAAAGTTTTGAAAGGAGAAGTTTGGTAAGGTTTACATTTGAGAAAAATTATTTTTAACTAATACAGAAGAATAGATCATTTATGAATAAAGAATGACAACAATCTAAAGGTAAGAAAGGTCATAACAATGTTCATTCTCATTGAGATTCTTATTCTCAAGGTTATTCCCTACCAGTAAGGAGAAAGGGATGTCAGCAGCATGGAAAGACATAGTTCTGAGGGCAGAATTGACTGGAGGTGTGTGAGTGGTACTAAAGACAGTTCTGTTAGTCACCATGAGCTACCGTGACAGACAACCAGACACTGAATGCTGCTCACTCAACTGTATTTTTTCCCCCTCACAATTCTGGGTAGAAGCTCAAGATGAAGTGCTGGTTTAATTGGTTTCAGGGAGAGCTTCTTGGATTTCAGAGAGCTATCTTCTTCCTGGTCTTTCCTCTGTGTGTGCTTTTCTAGTTCCTCTTCTGCATTGTAGGATAAAAGTCCTTTATACCATGGCCTCTCTCTTCTTACTTATGTATGTAACTTTATCCCTTTTGGCTGTTTAGATTTGAATTTTCAACCACTCCAAAGGAGCATTCAGTAACTGGTACATGCTCTACCCACAGTCCCACTGCTACTAAAATCCTCTTGGGCAAAGAGAGAATCTCACACTTGCCATTAAACTCAATTATGAATCTCATGGGAAATTTGAAGAAAGCTGTTTCTTCAGGTTATGAATATGTGGACAAGGTTCTCAGTGCAAATCTGAGTCTGGATAAGCTACAAGTTCCTGAAAATAACAGTAGTCTTTTAAGTATTCATGCAAAAAGCTCCCGTGGTGATGTATAGGACATTTTCCAGAGTGTGGATTATGTTTTAGGTTTTAGGTGGATTAGGATTAGGTTTTAAATATATTAATTCAATGCATAGGACTGATTCTGTAGCAGAAGGTTTGCCTAAAAGACAGTATGTCAACTGATTCCTTATTTTGAGAAGGTTGCAATTCAAATGACATGAATATTTTATGCTTCTGTGCACTATTCTTTGGTTTTATGATAGCTGAACTCTGATCTGATTTCTGCATACAAATTTACAGTTGAAACACATCTTTTAAATGAAATTACTACACAAACTATGGTTGTCACAAGGTCTGACAAAAGCTTAATTAAGGAAAAGGATAGTGAAATCTCCAAACAGAGAGAAAGCTATGTTCAGCCAACAAACGGATATCGCTCTAGTAAGTAATGGTGTTATATCAACTTTAATGACAAGTCATAATTAGCATGTGTTTTCTATAAATCTAATATATTTATTCCTTAGGTAGTTTTGTTTTTAGAAAACCACGTAGCTACATGCAACTAGAAATGTTTTTTATTCTTTCCTTATCTATTAATTCTTCTATTTTATAGTCTAGAAAAGTGTGTTCATATTGTATAATGAACAAAAGATAGAATCAATTAAAATTATTTCCTGGGAGCTTATTATTATTTTTTTAAACTTTTTTGTTTGTCGGTCATGGCACTTGAACTCTGGGCCTGGGTACTGTCCCTGAACTCTTCAGCTCAAGGCTAGCACTCTACTACTTGAGCCACAATGCCACTTCTGGGTTTTCCGGTGGTTAATTGGAGATAAGAGCCTAATAGACTTTCCTACCTGGGCTGGCTTTGAACTGTGATCCTCAGATCTCAGCCTAGGATTACCGGTGTGAGCCACCAGCACCCAGTTTATTTTTTAACTTCTATAGTAGCTAAACTTCTCTGCTATCTTGGGTCACCCAATAGCTTCGCAGTGTCACAACTTTATGGTTCCGACTATGATGCTATACCTATTGAAGAACCTAAATAAAAAATGAGTAACTCAATAATATTGTGCTAGAGTTCAACATTAATAAATATAACTGGATAACATTTCTATTTCCTTTGGTTGTTTAGATTTGGATTTTCAACCACCTCAAAAGGAGTATTCAGTAACTGGTACAAGCTTTGCCCACAGTCCCACTACTACTCAAAACCTCTTGAACACAGAGAGCATCTCCCAATTGCCATTAAACTCAACTATGGCTCTCATGGGTAATTTGAAGAAAGCTATTTCTCATCAGATGTCGGGTTATGAATATGTGGACAAGGTTCTCAGTGCAGATCTGGATGAACTACAAGTTCCTGCAAATAACAGTAGTCTTTTAAGCATTCATTCAAATAGCTCCTTTGGTGATGAAAAGGACATTTTCCAGAGTGTGATCCAAAGAGAGATGGGAAGACATCATTCTCAGATTAACACATCCCTCCAAGCATACACCCAGTTTGCATCTGCATTACCAATGACTAAAGCAGTGACAGTTTTGTCAGGAAAGTCTGGATCAACCAAAACATCAATTTGCACTAAGTTATCCTGTTTTCTTGGGGTTTCTTGTGTACCAACCAGAGATGGCCATTTCAAATGTGGACGCTGCCCTTTGGGATACTATGGAGATGGCATCAGTTGCAAAGGTAGTGTGAAAATTCTTCATAAATGTGAACTAGGAAGTTCCCATAACTAAGAAGATAGGTTTCATCCAATATTTATGGTATTTTTGATAGAAAGGGGTTTTTCCTGAGTTACTTTTAAGTATACATAATAGGTATATTTTAAGGTTGGTAGAAACCGTCGGTATCAATTATGTCATAAAACTGACAATGCATACAATGAAGTTTCAAGGGGCTGGGAAGTTGGCTCAGTGGTAGAGCGCTTGCCTTGCATGTATGAGGCCCTGGGTTCGATTCCTCAGCACCACATAAACAAAAAGAAAAAAGCTGGAAGTGGTGCTGTGGCTCAAGTGGTAGAGCGTTAGCCTGAACTCTGGGCCTGGGCACTGTCCCTCAACACTTCAGCACAAGGCTAGCACTCTACCACTTGAGCCACAGCGCCACTTCCGGCTTTTTTCCTTTTGCTTATGTGGTGCTGTGGAATCAAACCTAGTGCCTCATGCATGCAAGGCAAGTGCTCTACCACTGAGCTACCTTCCCAGCCCATATGAGTACATTTCTTATCAAGCATTGTTGCCTCCTTCTTTGTTTCCCCTTCCTATCCCTTCCCATCTCCCCCCACCCCTTCATTGCCTTTTAAAAATTGTAATCTGCCATGTATGATTGGCCACCACTGCCAACCTTAGGTAATGCCCTGAGGGGTAAATTCTATGTACAATACCTATTTCTTACTCTGCTAGCCATTTTTTCAATCATTTTAATAATAAAAGAAGTATAAACAAAAATGAAATCATAGATCGCTGTAGTTGCTGTTCTAATACAGTATCAAAATAATAGCATTTGAGAAAAGTTTAATTGTATCATAACTAAACATGAGGAGCATATGTAACTTAAACCATCTACACTGCCATTTTTTGCTTGATTCATGCAGCTATTTGTCGACATCCTTGTGGGAAAGACAGAGAATGTGTGGCCCCCAACACGTGCAGGTGTAAAGCAGGCTACGTTGGTTCTAACTGCCAAACTGGTAGGTACAGCATTGCCTAGTTTGCATAATAAATTGATCATTGATAATTGAGACCTCTAAACCCTTGGCTCTATTTTATACAGCAATATGTCACCCTGCTTGCAAAAACCATGGAAAATGTGTAAAGCCTCACATTTGTGAATGCCCTCCAGGATATGGTGGAGCTACCTGCACTGAAGGTGATAAATCAAACTAAAAATCAATAATGGAGCTAAAACTAGGTGTTACTTTTAAAAATTATTTTACTTATTTGTATTTTTATTATCATTAAGTAGCGTACAAAGAAGTTGGCATTTAGCAAAGCAGTTCACGAATACAATGCATCTTGACCAATATCACCCTTCAACATTCTTATCCATCCGTCCCCTACCCACCTGCTCTCTTACTCTCCTTACTTTCTTTAAAATAGTTATGAGAGATAATTCAGTTTGCTTGGCATGTATTGATATATTTTACTAATGTTAGTGCATGATTCTATAGTTTTTTCCCAAATATATATTAAAATAATTCATTGAAGTTTAAAGAATATGGAATGTCAACAATCAGAGATCTAAGAAAAAAATGAATAGCTTATATTTGGTAAAATTATCTTCCAAAATCATTTTTGGGATTTAGCTATGTTATTGGCAAAAATGATTATTAATTGACTTACCAAAGATGACTCAAAAGAAGCGTTACATGTAAAGTAATTAAAAGATATAAGGTAGCAATGAGAAAGTATTCTTAATAAATTATTGTAAAATGATGTACAGAGCAGTTACAGTTACATAGTCAGGTAATGAGTACATTTCTTCTTGAACAGCATCATGTCCTCCCTAATTTTCTCCCACTTTTCCCCTCACAACTCCCAAAGTTGTATAGTTCATTTCCCATAGTGCAAAATAGTGAGTTCAAAGAGAAATTTAAACAGCAATTATATAAGTACATTGGGCTAACAAAGTGGCTTAGTAGTAGAATGTTTGCCTAGCATGCTTGAGGCCCAGAGTTCAATTCTTTGGTACCACATAAAAAGACAAACAAAAACTTTTTAAACAATAAAAAAGACATCTATAATCTTATTAGTTGCACTATTTAAGCTGAAATGTTAAGTGCAGATGGTAGATGATACTTTAAAGAAATATATTTATCATTGTTTTAAAAAAAGTTTCTTTAAAAGCATATACTCTATTTAGGGGAGAATCTCCATGATGTAACTTATTTGAACAATTTTTGGACATTTTGACAAAATGAATATCCTGTGTGGATGAGGAGCTCAAGGGGAAGGAGGCAAATATAGTCATGATATCCAATATACTTGTATGAAAATGGAGGCGGGGGGGGGATGGGTGAGGTTGGGGTAGATGCAGGAGAATGCTGGAAGGGGTGACATTGATCCAGATACATTATATTCATGGACTGACATGTTGATTTGAGAATTCTGGTCACAATTGTTTAAATATAGTAAAAATAAATTTGATATAAAATATTTTAAAATTAAGAATATATTCTAGTAGATGGCACATGCAATTACAAATAAGGATTTGTTATATGCTTTAGTGACATGGCAAAGTATAAATTAACAAGGGAATATACATTTAGGGTAAACTAACAAAAGCTTGCAACACTAATAAGGTATGAGAATATATTTATAATGCAGGAATGCACCCTAAGATTCACTTTTCAGGACAAGTATAAAAGTATATGTTTCTACCCAATTTTTAGCAGAGTTTTTCATAAACCTCTTATATTCCTGTCTGTATTGCATTCATTAGGTTTCTTTTATAAACCAAAACATGTCATGAATGCTGGTGAGTGTTTCAGAGAAATATATCCACGTAGTCTGTACTGCAGAAGGGAACTGCATGGGAAGAGAACTGAGGCCACTATAACTGCTCTTATAAAGCTTTCTTGTGTTTGTGATATCAATTTTAATTATCATGACAAAGACCTGATTTACTAATGCAATCTGTATCCACAGAACATTGCAACCCTCCTTGTCAACATGGTGGTACATGCTTGTCTGGCAACCTCTGCACTTGTGCTTACGGTTTTGTGGGACCCAGGTGTGAAACAAGTAAGCAAAGATCCTGTGTGGTCATGAGATAATGAACTTGTTTCTTTGATGAAATAAACCCACACCCTAACTAAAAACACCCACTCATGATTTGTGATGCTGAATAGCCTTGGGAACAACTGTAGATGACCAATATGAAGGCAAAGACTGATTTTTTCTGGGCATGAAGGCTCAAACTGTAATCCTAGCTACTTGAGAAACTAAGATTAGGAAGATTAGGAAGATTAGCCTGACCATAAATGTAAGATTACATTTGAAAAGAAATTAAAGGAGAAAAAAACTGGGGGTATTTTCTAGTGGTACAGGATCTATCTAGCAAAAGCAAGGCCCCAACTTCAAACCCAGTAACTAAATAAACAACAAAAAACATCATTTTTAGGAAGTGGCTCTGTGGTTCAAGTGGTAGAGTACCGGCCTTGAGCTGAAGAGCTCAGGGACAGCACCCAGGCCCAGAGTTCAAGATCCACAACTGACAGAAAAAAAAAATTTTTTTTTAGTCTCTGAAGTAATTCTCTGAATCCTACCTTTGATCCTTCTTTGAAATAGAAGGATGTCAAATATGTTAATTTGCATATGAATTTTCCTTTTGTCTTTATTTTTTTTTATTTTTTTCAGTGTTTTTGTTTTTGAGTTAGCATTTATGATATGACGGGGTGTTAATGTGCTATTTTATGCATGTTTTCAACTTAGTTTGAACAAATTCACCCACTCCAACATAGTCCTATTCCTCCCCTCTCTTTTCCCACTTTTTCAAGTCCCATTTATTATGTCTGTTTGCTCAGCTAGCCAACTCTTATCATTAGGCTCAATGGTCTTAGAGAGCATTGAAGGCCAAACTCTATATTATGTCCCATCTTTCCTTCTTGCCTATTGATTAGCAGATATGTGTGGCAGTTATGAGCTAGTTATGCAATGGCCAACAATCTCTTGATTTGTCTTTTTCTTCTCTTATTCCATGACTTCAGAGGTTTGTAACAGGCACTGTGAAAATGCAGGTGAATGTCTTGAACCAGATGTTTGCCAGTGCAAGCCAGGCTGGTATGGACCCACCTGCAATACAGGTAAATCACAATTATGTTCAATGACATGTGAATTAAAAGAAATATAAAATATTACAATGTCTTGAAGGCTTACACCTCACACACACACACACACACACACACACATCAATCTGGCACAACAGTAATGAGATTGATCTATCAGACATATTTTTTTAAATGCTCTCTTTTCCTTCTTATTTTTTTATTGGAATGTAGATAGCATCTTATAACATTATTGTATCATTACTTTATCTCATCAATATTAGATTTTTTTTGTTCCCCTCCTCCACTTACTTGGCATGAACATAGAACATCTATTCAATGTCTTATTTTCTAGGTTTAAGATTTTATTTGTGTTTAATCACAACACAGATTTTCTATCTCATTAAAATTTCTCAAGCCAGCTGCCAATGGCTTACAACTATAATCCTAGCTACTCAGGAGGCTGAGATCTGAGGATCCTGGTTCAAAGCCAGCCAAAGCAGGAAAGTCCATGAGACTTTTATCTCCAATTAACCACCAGAAAACTAGAAGTGGCGCTATGACTCAAATGGTAGAGTGCTAGCCTCAAGCTGAAGAGCTCAGGGACAGTGCCCAGGCCAGAGTTCAAGCCCCACAACCAACCAAAAACTTTTTTTTTCTCTAAGTGATTCTGACTCACACACATCATGTTATTCCATTCATTTATCAACATCAGACTGGTTTCTCTAGCAACAATGCATATGAGTATTTGTGTTTATCCTAACTAAACACAATGAAAATTTAAGATATAGCTTGGCAAGTTTATGTGAACTAAAGGACACAAAAACATCAAATTGACTTTTGCTTTTATTGGAGAAGGTGTATCATGAGTAAAGGAGGTAGAGATATTTATAAAAAAGACTGAGACAAGGACTTATAAGGAATATAATGAAAGCATAGTTGTTCTGAAGCAAAAGTCATAAATTAACCCTGGCAAGTTAAGTTTGGAGGAAAATAACATGGGCATTGGTAGATGGGAAAAATCTAGGTTGAAAAATAGTTTGGAGAATATCTTTCAGAGCAAAATGAAGGTAAAAGGGGGAAACCAAAGGATGTTTCTGACCATGTTAGGGCCCGAGTGTAGGTCTCCTTTTGTTGGGAAAGAAACAAAAGGTCCACAGAGTCATATGGAATTGAACAGATTGCGTACCATCCTTGTCCTGTTAGAGAGGCTGAAGTGAAACTGTCTTCTCTTACAATCCTTCCCTCCACCCCCACCCCCAGTTCTCAGGGGGCATTTTGAAGGCTAACCACATAATCTACATTTGTAGCTGAATAATATTTGTATACTTAATGAACATTCTTTCTAAGCAATTATGAAGTTATTTTATTCCTCTCTGTTTACTAAAGTCTAATCAATAGTGGATTATGGGGCTTACTTACAGTAAAAAAATTAAGTATTTTATTTCATTCCATTTTGTACTTTTATTTATACAGCTTTCATTTTTAAAATAGTAAGGCTTTTGTGGTTGTCTTCCTTCTGCTGTTCATTAGCTTTGTGTGAGCCCATTTGCCTCAATGGTGGTTCCTGTTACAAGCCAAACACTTGTCTCTGCCCGAACGGATTCTTTGGAGCACAGTGTCAGAATGGTAATTATTCTTTCTTTATTAAGAAAATGAAGATTATTTAGGTATCAACAGGTTTACATTCATACCAGACAACTTCTAGAGGGGAAAAGCTTACTGTTTTCCTCTGTTCCTTACAATGTTTCATGAGTGGCTGCCTACCCATGGCCAAGTGTGTGCAAATGCATTAGAGTTGTCGTGCTAAATGGTTGTATTTCTTCAATATATGTTATAGTCTTGGCACTTGTCTTTGCCATTTTGTGGAACAAAGGTGTGAAAGAAATAGTCAACATTATCTTGAGTTGATAATGAAACAGTATCTTCCTTGCTGCCTTCTTTAAAAAAAGATCAACTTTGATTTATGGTCAACCTTACCATAACTTGTTATACCAAGATATCTCATGACTTTAGGTTCATTAGACACTTATGAAGAGGCATATATGCACATCATTATGAAAAGTGATGTGAGATATAAAAGTGCATGATTTTTCTCCTTCTTGGCTCATTATGGCCCATCATTTAATGCCTCTCCCCACATGCTGCTACAGGTTATTATTAGAATAGAAATGTCTCAAAAGTGAATATATGCTGGGCACCGGTGGCTCAGGCCTGTAATCCTAGCTACTCAGGAGGCTGAGATCTGAGGATCACGGTTCAAAGCCAGCGTGGGCAGGAAAGGCCGTGAGACTCCTATCTCCAATAAACCACCAGAAAACAGGAAGTGGCACTGAGACTCAAGTGGTAAAGCACTCTCCTTGAGCTGAAGAGCACAGAGACAGCGCCCAGGCCCAGAGTTCAAGCCCCACGACCGACCAAAAAAAAAAAAGTGAATTGATGCCAATGACTTATTTAAAATGTATTTTCTATATCATCTGTTTTTGAATTACACTATGGATAGAATGTATTTTTAGTAAAGAACTTATTAGAACATCTTCATAATTTAAATGTTAAGATTCGTACTTTTCCATTCTGTGATGTGCTTGAACATATAACTAGGTTTTTGTTGCTTGGAAGTTGGTTAGGATAAGACTGAAGTTAAGAAAAAGAAAACATCACCCAGGCACAGGATATTGGGGTTAGGGAATGAGTTCCACTAGCTCACATTTCCTCTGAGGAACTAGTTTGAGACATGCAAAGAAATAAAAATATTAAATTACGACAAACCTTAGAAAATGATGGGTTATGACTAAATCCATGCTAAATATTATAGGTACAGTTTTGTGGTGTGTGTGTGTGTGTGTGTGTGTGTGTGTGTGTGTGTGTGTATCTTTTGTCCACCATCGGGCTTGAACTCTGGACTTGTGTGCTGTCCCTCAGCTCTTCAGCTCAAGGCTAGAGCTCTACCACTTGAGCCACAGCACCACTTCTGGTTTTCTAGTGGTTTACTGGAGATAAGAGTCTCAGGCTTTTCTGCTTAGGCTGTCTTTGAACTGCGATCCTCAGATCTCAGCATACTGAGTAGCTAGGATTACAGGTGAGCTACCAACACCAGGCTAGTTTTTTGTTTTTCTAATTTAAAGAATACTTCGGTAGTTTCTGTAATCAAACCCATGTAAATAAGACCTTACATATTTAATACAGTGTGTTATCCGCCTGTAAAAACAGAAGAATAAGCCCTCAAGTTTAACATTTCTAGACCCATATTAGGTATAGTTTTGAGTAGAGAAACTAAAGAATTTTAAAGCTTGATTGTGCCATGAAAATTACAGTAGGTATAAGACATCTTTAAAAAAATGTTCCTTGTTGAACATCTGTGCCACATACTCTCTCTCGCTTGCTCTCTCTCTTTCTCTCTCTCTCGCTCTCTCACATACACACAGAGTTGGGAGGAAAACAAAATGTAGTTAAAAATTATCTAGAAATGTAACAAATGTAATACTATTTATTCTTCAGCTTTACATGGATTTCAAGCAATCATCTGCGTAACACAGCATTTGGTTCAAGTACTATTTTCACTCCATGTGTTTTTACAGAATTTTCCCAATAGTTATTCATAACTTGGGGCCCATCCTTCTCCTCAAATCCCCAATTAACTGTCTTACAGGGGGTTTGTTAGGAGGGCCATCTGAAGTAGAAGGTCAGTTTTTCTCCTAAAACTCCTTTCCTACTGTGTAGATGGATAAATCCAAATTTTATTTCATTTTATTTTTATTTTATTTCATTTATACATTGTTTTAATTATAAGGGTGTTTTGAGTAAATGTATTTATCTTTGTACTTATGTTTTCAAGAATACTGATTATATGGCAAATTAAGTAATGTGAGTTTTGCTTTTTTAATTTTAGATTTCTAATTATAGATATCCCCAATGTTGTTTTTGAGATTTCTAATTATAGATTTCCCCTGTGTTGTTTTTGAGGTAGAAGGAATACTTGTTTTGCCTAATGAACAGAAATAATTGTAAGTTAATTTTAAGTTGTATAAAAGAAAAAGAACAGAAAATATAAGCATATTTCAGTAATAAAATATGAGGTATACCTCTGTTTATAATCATAGGGGTCTATCTGTTTTAATAGCAAGCATTTTCTGTGTAACAAACCCCAATATTTCAGTAGTCTGGCATAACCATTCATTTTTCCCTATGCATAGGTCATACAGTTTGGCTGGAATGGACTCTAGACTTTTTAACCTGGCTAGGAGACACTCCACAGACTAAAATTGACCTGGTCAATTACATAGAAGAAAGAGAGCAAAGCCAAGAATAAGTTTACCACACATTTTGAAACTTCTGCTTGTATCGTGTTTGCTCACTGGCCATTCATCAGTTCAGTCACACAGCAAAGCACTGTACTAACTAGACAAGAACATAAGCTCCCTCTGGTCTTAGGGGAGACTAAAGGCAAAGTCACATGGCAAAGAGGATGAGTAAGAAAGAATAAAGGAAGTAATTGGCCACAAAAACCAGTAATGCAAAATAACTCCTTTTAAAAACTAAACTCAAATTATTGCAACAGTTTTTGTTTCAATGCTTAAAAAGTTTATTGGATAAATGTTTTTATAAGTACCAAAAAATGTCAGATAAAGTAGGCTCATTAATCAGAAAAGTTTTAGCCTACAATAGTAGAAACTACTCACTAAAAGGATCCAATTGTAGTTTTTGTACTCAAAGTGCTTTATTTTCATTTATAAATCCATTTGAAATCAGTGTTTTCCTTACAAGGCTTGAAAATAAAGAATACAACTATTACAGAGAGACCCAACTCAAACTGACAGTCTATCATAGCTCCATTACCAAACTCTGTTAACTTGAAATAGAAACTAAGATATATTTAAGTATTATTCTATCAAAAAGTTTTGTAAGGTTTGTCAACATGTAATAAAGAAATAAAATAAAACAAAAGCAACAACAAAAGCAACATATGAAAAAGCATTGACTTTTAGCTGTCCATTAGTGGCCCATGCCAGTAATCCCAACTCTTACTTTAAACTCCAGATGCTGAAAGATAAGAATTTGGACTTCAAGGCATATCAGAAAGATGCTGTCTCGGAAAGGGAAGAAAATTTTAAAAAAACTTTAAAAAAGACTAAAAACCAGAAGAAGCAATAAGTCATCTCTCATTAAAAATGACAATTATGAATTTTTTCCTATATAAATAATATAAGCATTTTTAAAAATTGTAAACAACTAAGACAGTGGTAGCTCATGCTTGTTTCAAGACCAGGCTAGGTAGAAAAGTCCATCAGACTCTTGTCTCAATTAGCCAGCATGAAGCTGGAAATGGATCTGTGAATCAAGTAGTAGAGTTCAAGCCTTGAGCAAAATAGTCAAGTAATAGGCCAAGGCTCTGAGTTCAAGCTCCTCTACCAACACACACACACACACACACACACACACACACACACACGTGAAGAATGATAAATATGTACACAGAAAATACAAGGTGTATTTGAAATATGGAGGGAATATTCCCAGCAAATGATTCACTGTTATTCAGAGTCTTACTCTGGAGTTTGCAGGAGCCATTCATGTAAAACTCTGCCTCATAACCTTACTAGTTATTGAAAAGATCTTTCAAAGGTTTTTCTTACACTTTTGTTATGCTATGTGAAAAATCGTTGAAGTTGTTCTAATTTCCTTAAGAACAAACAAATTAATTTGCTTTTTCCCCTTGGTTTTATCCAGATTATTCTCTACTTCATCTCAGCAGTATGGAAAAACCTAAATTAAGGATCATAATATATGTCATATAATACCAAAGAAGACTCTATTTGTTACAAATACTTAGCCATGCATTTTGAATAGTGTTAAACTACTCATGGCTTATGGCTTTCAGCATTTCATTTTTTTTATTTACAAGGGGCAGTTTAATGACTTGCAGCCATAATCTTTTATTTTAATAACGTATTCTTCTGACTTATGGCTCCATAGATAACAAGTGTATAATGCAATAAGCAATATGTAATAACTGAATATGTACTGCTTCCGCCCTGGGGCCTGTGTCCTTCCAGCCATCTGTCACCCTCCCTGCAAGAATGGTGGCCTCTGCCTGAGAGACAACGTGTGCGTCTGTCGTAGAGGATACACTGGAAAGAGATGCCAGAAAAGTAAGCTAGCACAGAACATACAAAGTATAAGAAAAGCAAACTGAAAATGACCGCTGCTTTAGGGCTGACATTTCACCCTTTTACCTTAAGGTATCTGTGACCCTATGTGTATGAATGGAGGCAGATGTGTGCGTCCAAACATTTGCTCGTGCCCTTCTGGTTGGAGTGGGAAACGATGCAGCAGACGTAAGAAGATTTAAGAATACTCTTACAATGCTAAAATCTACCTCATTCCCTGTTTCTTTTGCCTATTTTCATTGCTTATTTATTCCTGCTTTAGACTATATTGTTTTGAAATAGAGTAAAAGGCAAAATCCTCTTACCCCATTTTCCCAAACAGTAAAAACAAAAACAAAAAACCACAAAACAACGACAAAGAAAAGAAAAAGGAAACCTGACAAGCCGGGCACTGGGCGCAGGTCTGTAATTCAAGCTACTCAGGAAGCTGATAAACAGTTCATAAGTTCATAAACAGCCCTGGCAGAACAGTCTGTGAGCCTCTTGGCTTTAATTAACCAGAGGGGAGGGGGGGAATGTTGGGAAGCAGAGGCATGGCTCCAGGTACGCTCAAGCTAAAAAGCCAGGGGAAAGTGGGAAGCTGCCAGTTCAAGTCCCATTACAGTACAGACAGACAGAAAAAAGAATGAAAGGAAGGAAAGAAGGAAAGGCAGGCAGGCAGAAAGAGAGAGAGAGAGAGAGAGAGAGAGAGAAAGAAAGAAAGAAAGAAAGAAAGAAAGAAAGAAAGAAAGAAAGAAAGAAAGAAAGGAAGGAAGGAAGGAAGGAAGGAAGGAGAGA